TCCAGATAGGTCAGGGAGGGAGACAAGATTGTCTCAAAGTCCCAAGCAACACATCTGAGAGATCAAAGGCAAGTAGTGGAAGGATTTCTGGGTATTTTGTCAAGAACTAACTCATGGATAGCAGAACTAGTGATAGTGGCCCTTGCACCATATTGCATTGGCAAGGTTGGATGGAGATAATTCCTGGCTGCTGTATGATTCATCACTTACCTTCGTTCGCGGGCTCCATCGTGATTTCAGAACTTTCTTATAATGAGGACAGGATACTCAGATGGTGGAGAGGAGGCTGTCAGCAGCAGTTCACCATGTGAGGGAAGGGAAGAAGGAAAACATATTGTGAATTTCTCTTCTCTTACCCTGAAAAATGGTTGTAAAATTTTTTTTAGAGAGAACTGCCCTTAAATTCTGTCCCAAACTCATATACAAATGTAAGGATGGGAAGAGCATATTTCAAGGCCAGCAAGTCCTGAAGAAAATTCCCATTTCTCTCATGGCTGGTGTGGTCTTGGTTCTCCAGGATTGTGTTGGGATATTGTTTAAGCACACATCTGGAATCTTAGGAGGTTCCAGAGCATCCCCCTGAGTACCTTCTAGTGCTCCGAGTCTCTGAGTTTAGAGAACCCATTCTAGCCCTCCTCAAAGCTGGTGAGTGACTTCAAGCTGAATCTCTCTAGGAAACTGGCCTCAGTCCTCTCTCTGACTCTTATCTTCCTCCATTCATGATCCAAAAAAAAGGTTTCTAAGATCCCTGCTCATGGCCATTCATAAATATCATTAGCTATTCCCAACTACCAGGAGGTATCTGCCTCTGGGCTTCTGTTTAGGGCATCACAGGATGTTCTCAGAAAATCACAGACTTTCCACAATCAGAGCCAATTGTTCATCATGTTATCTACTTCAGGATTGCCAGTGTCTGACCCTGTAGTTATCCCTACTAGAGTATAAGTAAACCTTCTACCATACCTTTATAAATAGCCCCAGTCCCTCCAATTCCTTGAAACTTTGACTATAACCCCCGGTGCACCTCTATATTAGACATAGTGATGGTAGAAAGTTCCCCATCTATAGCTTCTAAGCAGCAGAAGTTACCTTTGTCCAGAGAAGATCTTGTCCCTAAGTTCAAAGTTAAGGCTCTAACTGTGTCCAAGAGCTCTGGGATGCTGGTCCAGGACTCCCAGGCTTTTTAATGAGGAGGGAAGGAGTTATATGTCCTGGATGTAGGTGTGTCACTTTAAAAAGCTGTTCTGATATAGAGGTCCTGTGTGACTGGTCTGGGCACCTTGAGAAACAAAAGCAAATACTATTTACCAACAATCAGAAATGCAGATGAAGTAATATGCTGAGTTAAGGAGAAAATATCTTTTCTAGGCTGGTTTGGAAGCAGAGGTATGACTTCTTTCGCTTAGTGAACAGTTTGAGCTCACAGCCTCATTCTTAAATGATCACACAAATCACACATTCATATTATACACATACCGAGAGTTTATTCTGTTTCTGATAAGGTTGTAAGAGATTTACCTGAGAAATTTTTATAACAATTCTCCATGAGCCATTAATCGTTATTTTCCATGTAAAAAGCTGAGGTCCTGGGAGGTGAAAAATAGTCATATGATTATGAAGGAATCAACAATGTTTCTGTTGTGAACAACTACTTGATGGATAATGGTCTCCTGCACTCTGCATAAGACAAAACGTGTCTAATGGTATTGAATATTGTGGATATGGAATGTGTCTAAAAGAATCACATAGTAAGAGAAATATTGGAGCTTCTTAACTCTGAATTAAGAATCACACTCAGCTTGTGACCAGCAGATAGCATAGTGGTTAAAGTGCCGGACTCCCACTTGGTTGATTGCAATTTGAGACCCAGCTTGAAATTTATGCTGGGATGTGTGTGTGTCCAAAATCCTGAGAGGAGAATGGAGGAGAAGAGACTGCTGTGTGGTCATCCCTGTGAGGGATGATTTCTTGCTTTCGGTCTCTCTGGTGAGCACACATATCTTAGAGCAAAAATTTATCTCTCTCTAAAAAAAAAAAAAAAGAAGAATCATCTAATCATCACACTCAGCTTCCTTCATTGGCAATGAAAGCTAGTATTTTGGGTCAGTCATATATGTCAAAAAATCCTATTCACTCTATGCTGAAATGTGCTTTCGTGTAATGTGCACAAATGACCATTATTCCACTCTCTGAAATCCACCATGAACTTTCTTACCTGAAGGATTATAATATATAGGGAGCAAACATATCAGTATGGTCCTGTTATGTTCCTGCTCAGAATCCATTAATGGTTTCACTTTATGCCCAGAATAATATCAGAGCTTTTACCATGTGCCCACCTCCCAGGCCTAGATGAAATACCCCTCTGGTCTTCCTACCATGCCTTCCTCCCTGCTCCCCTGGCTCCCCTGCTCTGGCCTCATTGGAGACCTGCTGATTCTCCCACCTGCAAGCATGTCTATGCTGGGATCCTCCTGTCCTCTGCATGAATGAGCTCAGTGGGTCAGCACGTGGGTTAAATCAGCATGTGGGTCACCCCCACATGTCTTCCATGCATTTGAAGAAAAACCTACTTCTAAATAAAAATCTTCCCCACTTCACTTCCCAGTCTACAAGAGCCCATCACACATACTCTAACTACTCATCTTACTACATTCTTTCTGTCATAGTATGTCCGTCTATTGCTGAGGAATTTTTTTTTCTCCACTGCCTAAGAGGGAACTCCATGGGGCCAGTGAATGTGTTTTGTCAGGAAGTCACAATAACTATGCCTTCAATATTAGTAACATCATCTGACCAACTGTGAATAATAATAAATATTTGTAGACTGAATAAAAGAACGAATGGAGCATGTAACAAGCAAGAGGAATCTTGGGAGAAACAAGAGAAGAGATTTCTTTATATGAAGAGCATCATTTATGGTAGGAGGCAGATTCCTGCCCTCCTCATGGAGAAGAGCAAGGGGATGATTTACCATCTTATATGCAGAATGGAGTTTTCTAAGAGTCACTCAAACAGTCAGAACAATGGAGCTTTGTCCCAGCTGGGATGGTTGAGCATCTAGAAACCCACACACTAACTCTGGCTCTTTGGCTAGGATTGGGCATAATCAGGGAGTTCTAGGGGAGCTTGACATGTGTCCACCATAGTGTGGTGTATTCTAGGGACTGCTGAAGACAACTTTCTATCACTTCCTGAATTAGTGTGCCTAGAGGAACTATGGGATAACTTTTCTGAAAGAAGTTGGCAGTAACTCCCATCCCAAATGAGAACTTTGATACCCTTAGGGGTTTAGATAGACTGAAGCTCATGACTATGTTGAGAAGCACAGCTTCTCAGAAGTGTTGGAAACATGGATTTTCTACAAGGATCAAAATGTCAAGAATTTAAACTATTCAAGTTTTTTTTTTTTTTTCCCAAGAAACAGGAAAGCACTGATGGTCACACTCTGAACAACTGTACACACCACTCCTCAAATCAGATAAAATAATTCTCTATCAGAGTTCAAGGACACCTTCCTCTGTAAGCCCAAAACCAGTGCTGTAAGAAGAGCTCTGCCATTCCTGCCCGTGCTCTATATTCCCAACATCTCAGGACTAGACCTAGTAAAAAAAAAGGGGGGGGGCGGGGAGAATGGGGAACACAATTCTAGCCACTTCTCGACACCATTATAAGCAGCTCTTTTTTTTTTTTTTTTTTTTTGGAGAGGGTTTTGCTATAGGGCACGTGCGCTCTCCAGAAAGACAGAGAGAGACGGAGAGATAGAAAGTGAGAAATCACCCTCCGGGGGGGCTGGCCACGCTGCAATCCCTTCTCCTCCATTCTCCTCTTGGGATCTTGGGCATGCACGCAAACGTGCCTGGCATGAGTTTAAGCCACCGGGTCCAGGACTCGAACCATGGTCGGCTACATGGGAGTTCAGTGACATAGCCATTACGCTAACTGCTGGTCCCTATAAGCAGCTCTTACCCTAAAAAAATGAGAACAAAATTATGCCAGCTTGACTGGGAAGTTGTTAAGGGATTTGGTATTTAGTGGAAAAGGTGAATGAATATAGCAAACTCCATGGTACTGACACAGAAACAGACAGGTGGACCAATGGAACAGACTAGAGCCCCCAGAAATAAATTCCAAAACAACTGATTTTTGACAAGAGGTAGCAGTAAATCCAGTGGGAAAAAGGAAACCTCTTCAACAAATGGTGCTGAAAAAATTGGATTCCCACCTGCAGAAAGATGAATCTGAATGGCTACCTCTCACCACTGACAAAAATCAACTCAAGGTGGATCAAAGATCTAAATGTAAGACCTCAAACTATAAAACTGCTCCTGGAAAACACTGGGGAAACTCTGGGAGATATTGGTGAGGCAAAGACTTCTTAAATAAGACCCCAAAGCACCATCAATAATCCCCAAAATAGACAAGTGGGATTACATCAGACTAAGAAGTTTTTGCATGGCAAAAGACACAGTGATTAGTGTGAATTGACAGCCCTCAGAATGGGAAAATATTTTTGTAAACTATGTGTCAGACAAGGGACTGGTAACCAGAATACACAAGGAACTCAAACAGCTGTTCTGAAAAAAGATGATCTGTTAAAAGATGGGAGAAGGAGTTGAAAAGAACACTCACTAAAGATAACATATGAATAGCCAGAAGGCATATGAAAAAAAGCTCAACATCCCTTATTGTAAGGGAAATGCAGATCAAAACAACAATGAGATACTACCTAACCCCTGTCAGAATAACTAAGATTAAAAAAAAAACCCACAAAAAATGATAAGTGCTGGTGGGGGTGTGATGAAAGGGGAACTCTCTTACATTGCTGGTGGGGATATAAATTCATCCAGCCACTGTGGAGGACAATTAGAATATTCCTCAAAAATCTACAAATAGAACTACCATATGATCCAGCAATCCCATTCCTTGGTATCTACCCAAAGTACAGAAGAATTCTTCGTTAAAAAAGTGCTTGCACATCAGTGTTTATTATGGCATTATTCACAATTGCTAAGACATGTAACCGACCCAAATGCTCACAAACAGATGAATGAATTGAAAAACTGTGGCACATATACTCTATGGAATACTATTCAGTCATAAAAAACAACAGGACCTTGACTTTTGACAGAAAGTAGATAAATATAGAGGATTTACTGCTGAGTGAAGCAAGGCAGGCTATGAAGGAGAGTCTTTGTATGCCCCCACTTAATATATACCGAGTGTCCG